TYCCMAAAWWMYTTTTTTTTTTTTAAGTTTCTTTTTTCTCCTATTCATTCACACTTCATTCATCCGTGTGTGGTCAGCCAGGTTAGGAAGACAAGAAGGTTTTTAACTAAGTTGGAAAAATGTGTGTTTGCTATTGGGTTGAGTGATTTGTCCTTTAAGGTGGAGTTGGAGCCTATAAAAAGTTGAAGTGGGAGCTGAGCATGGCAAAATGTGTTTGCTTTTCTTAGATGAATCTGTGAGTCTGTGTGTGCTATAAAATGGCATTATTCCTCCAATGGAAACCACACCTTCCTACACAGCAGACGCCACTCTGCCTTCTCTCCACAGACTTTCCCAACCAAGGTTCAAAATCCCTCCTGTATTTGTAGTCAATCCCATGGGGAAACCATGGGTCTGGTTCCCCATCGGGGTTCCAAGATGAGATTCTTTGCAAAAGAACATGTAACAATTAGCCAGTCCAAAAAAAAAAAAAAACAAAAAATGAAGCTATAGATAACTTCCAAAGTAGAATTCTCAGGAAAAGAACAAAACAAAACAAAACTGTTAGGTAATAGAAAAAGACAAAATTCACCACCAATGAAGAAGATAAACAGAAATGGAGTTTTGTATTTCATAAAAATCCAAAGGATGATATGGGGGTGAAACCCTGACATGACACATACATGGGTCCCTGATGTGACCATGTGGACTTACCAGATTCAGAAGAGTCAAGTACTTCCACTGGGCACCATCTTGAAATATCTTATATTCCTTCTGTTCATTTCCATGTCGTGGGATGTAGTAATTGAGGAAAATGTACCAGTTCAAAACCAGGAAGTGGTATAGGCACGTACAGGTCCTCATCCCAGCTCCCTCTGGCCAGGGCACTGAATACCTCAGGTCACTTCTTTGTAGTGTCCTTCTGTGAGTCACAGATCAGCCTCTAGGCCGTCGGGAGAGCTGTAAGACACACCCAGGGGGTTGAGAGTTCTACCTCTGGCTTGGCTTCTCTCTTAGGCGGTTGTCCTGATAAACTTGGGGAGAAAGGATTAGTGCTGTTTTTCAGAATCCTGTTTACATAATGATAATCTGCGGATTTGCATTTGTTTCAACCTATTAGCCTTGGAGGAGGGCAAGGGGCCAGAGCTGCCCTTTGCACCATTTAGCTGGCCCTAAACAGCCGTGGTGGCATGTTTAAACAACCTTATTATGAAACACYGATAGCTTCAGCTAATACAACCCTCTCCTGGCCCCACTCTCTCTTCATTTGGAAAGAACAGGAAGTTGCAATAGTATCTCTTGGAGAGAAGCAGGTTGAGAAATCAGGAGGTGGAGACTGGGTATGTGGAGGGCAAGAATCAAGGTAAGGAGGAAAGGAAGAAAGGATCCTTGTAATCTGGCTTCTGAGATTGCCAACCTTTGATCCCTCAGGGATCCCTGGAGGGGTTCTTTTGTTTTGGTTTTCCCGTTGGTCTTGTTTTGTTTTCGTTTATCTTTAATCTAGATAACCAAGAGTCGGGGCAGGCACTCCTTGTACTTGGGTGGCAGGCACTCCTTGTACCAGGGCGTTCCTGTGCCAAGAGGCCAGAAGCACTGGAAGAGATCCGTGGCCCAGACCCCCAACATACCTGAGGGTGAATAGTGCCTGGGAAGGATAAGGGTCTCTGCACTGCCCTGGAGGGGATGAGACATGGTGGGGCTGGGTAGAATGCAGCAGTGGACCTGCCTCAGCCCAGTAGCGGGGGAACTGAGGGACCACTGGAAGTGCCAAGCCTTGTGACATCACCAGCTTGTCTCCCTGGGCAACCGACTAAGAGGGTTGAGCAAATTCCTCAGAGAAAAGCTCCCAAAGCAGTTATGTAAGTCTGCTGTCCCTGCAATTGCTGATTTCACCAGGGCTCCCAAGAACCACAGGGGGGTCCTGGACAGCCAAACAAATACAGAACCAAGCCTGAGGACTAAGAGTCGATGGACTTCACACATCAGGAGCTATTGATGGGAGAAGAGTACATCTGAGCCAGCCCCCGAGGGTCTGCATTGTAACCTTGTGCCAATCTGTGGGGGCTACTACAACAAGACACCACAATCTGGGTAGCTGAGAAATAGCAGGGATTTATCTTTCACAGATCCAGAGGCCAGAGGATAAAGGCGGAGATGCTGGAAGATCCCGGATCTGCTGGGGGCCCACTTTCTGGTTCAGAGATGGCCATCTTCTCACCGTGTCCTTGCGTAAAGGTGGGGGTGGGGGTGGGGACACAAGTTCCCTTGGTCCTCTCTTATCAGGTCAAGAATCCCATTTGTGAAAGTTGAGCTCTTGGGGCCCAATCACCTCCCCCCATCCCCACCCTCCACATCCTAATACCATCACCTTGAGGGTTAGGATTTCAACACACAGATTTCAGAGAGGGATCCAGGACTTTGGTGACCTATCACTCTGTACAAAACTCCATGGACTGGTCTAAAATTAGTAAAATAATAAATGGCAGCTAATACTTTCATAGCATTTAACTGTTTGCCAGGCATGATTCCAAGGCTTTACAGGGGAACACATTCAACACCTTAAAATCCACTGTGAGGTTAGTACTGCCCAGAATAGTACTACTGCCCACTTTCTGGGCAGTACTAATGAGGAGATGAAAACCCTGGCTGCCAAAATCATGTATCTGACAACAAGTTAAGAGGCAGAGCTGTCTGTCCCGTAACCAGTGGACCCGGAACCAAGAATCAGGACTCCTCTGCAGGCTCCCCAACCCCTTTTTCCAACGGTCTCCCCCTCTCTGCTGAGGGCCTTTTCCTTCCCATCAGAAAATTCTCTCAGAAAAGGATCAGAAGTGTTTTGAAACTTGGTGCACCTATGAGCTCTCATGCTATGTCTCCAGGGGCGTCTCCATTTTAGACGTTGTTGTAGCTTTGGAGATTTCATGCCTTTATATATATATATAAAAAAATCTCAAGTATAATTCTGCAGATGGGCAAAGATTGAGGGAAAGATGGGAAAAAGATGGATAAAGACCCACATCTCTGAAATAGCTTTGTCAAAATCTAGGCCTTTTTACTGCAAGACCTTTTTTTTTTTTCTTCCTTGTTCTTGCCTCGATGCCCACAGAGGAGAACTCTCATAAATATTGATGTGATTATTTAATTTGATTTGCAAGAGATTCAGGGTTTGACATTAGAATCCAATTAATTGTTAGCATTTTAATAAATAGTAAAATAATATATGCGTATGAGGATTCGTATATAAAAACTACATGATTTCTAAACTCAATATCTTCATTTACTTATAAAACTTTCAAGTGTTGCCCAAAAGAGAGATTGGCCAGGAGCAATGGCACATGCCTGTAATCCCAGCAGCTTGGGAGGCTGAGACAGAAGGGTCTCAAGTTCAAAGCTAGACTTAGCAACCTAGCAAGGCCCTAAGCAACGTAGCAGACTCTGTTTCTAAATAAAGTAGAAAACAGGGCTGGTGATGTGGCTCAGTGGTTAAGCATCCCTGGGTTTAATCCCTAGTCACACACAAAAAAGGTATCTCTGGATTATGACCATATTCATAACATAATTTGTATCCCAGGATGAATAACCAGGTACATTTTTATGGAGCAGTTTGGCTATCTGTCCCCCACCATAAAACCAGGTGGAGCTTGGGAGAAAAATGAATACCACCAATTAGCCTACACGGTATTATGAACGCATCCTAAGTGTGCTCCTTGACTGTCTTTCTCCTTTCTTCAGAAATCTGAAAGGCTAAAATTGAGAAATGGAGAGAATTATTCTCGGACTTAAATCGAAAAGACAAATATAGCAGAAATTTAATATTCTTACACAAGAAATATTAAAAATATAAACAACAGCATATTTCATACTTTGATTTGAATAATACACATTTAACTTGATTAGTAGACGTGACATTCTTAACAACCCTCTACTCTCTAGGAAACCGGAGCACCCTTGCTTTATGTCCCAAGTATTTATTGAGCAATTACTATTTGCAGGAGACTTGCTAGGTGGTGGGGAGTTCCTGAGGACTAAGAGAGAGGCAATCCCTGACCTCACAGAGTTTCTATTCCAGCATGGGAGGCAGATATTAAACAAGAACAAAGCCAGGTGTTAATTTATAATTATGGAAACTTCTGTGAAGGGCCAACCCAGTGGGATCATTGGAAGGAACGGCAGATTCAGAGGTGGGGTGACTGGGGTGCAGGGAGCCAGCCCTCAGGGAGCCATGCTCAGTGCTGGCTCTCCCAACCCAGCCCACATCCTCTGGCCTCCTTGTCTCCTCCTCGGTGACTCCTCTTCGCCAGCTCCTCTGGGCTGGTGTTTCCCCCTGTTCTTGGGGTGATGCATACTCAACCACCATTTTTATTGTCACAGAATCTATTCCTCAAGATCACATCTGCTCTGCCCAAGCCCCTCCAAGTTCAAATACATCTTCARCTCCCTGCCATTGGGCATCCCCCGAATGAGGAAGACACACCTCAAACTCAAGGTGTCTAAAGAGGACTTGTCTCCTTTGCCCAAACCTGGCCTTTCTTGTCCATTGCTCTATTTTGGATGAAGGCTCCATCATCGACCTGAGAGGCTTTCCCCTCTGCTCTCTCTCCCTTGTTCCTCAAGTCCAAATTCTGCAAGTTCAGGTTCAAATGGGTCCCCTTCTCCCCCTTCCTTCTATTCCTTCCCTGGCCCAGGTCTTCCTCTCCTGCCAGCACCATAGCAACTGTCTCTTGGTTGGTTTTCCCAAATCTAGTTTTAATCCCTCCATTCTGTACTTCACAAGGTTGGAGGATGTGATTTTTCCCAAAATGCTACATTTGTCCTCGGCTTATGTCCCTTTACCACATCAACATCACCAACAGGATAATATATGAGTTTGGAAACTTTTAATACCCGCCCCCTGCAACACACACACACACACACACACACACACACACACAACTGGCTTGGGTACTTTCTCCATCTCATCTTTTGCCATCCTCCTATGATGCCAAATTGGCAGAGCCTCCCACCCAAGCCTTGGTGGGACACACCCCAGTGCCTTTTCTCCTACTGTCTCCTTTTCCTGACTGGTAATCTCAGAATTAGCCTCCAAAATGCAGCCCAGCAGTATCTTTCTCTAGTAACCCTTCCTGAACCTCTCCTCCACCAAGCCGTGTTTAATAACCACCCTTAATGCCTATGAATCTCTGCAAGTTGTATGATGATTACAAAGTCTCCTTCTTCTTGTTTGCTGTTGTTTGAATTCCCAGAGCTTAGCAGAGTGCTGGGCTCAGAGTAAATACTTCATAAATATCTGTTGAATAAGAAAATAGTAACCTAATTGAAAATGTACAAAGGACCTGAATAGACATTTCCCCCCCAAAAGACTAAAGTGGACAACAGGTATAAGAAGAGATGTTCCACATCATCATCAATCAGGGGAATGCAAGTTAAAACCACAAGGAGCCGTCACTTTACACCTGTCCGATGGCTATTATCAAAAAGATAAACAAAAGCAAATTTGGGTGAGGAGGTGGAGAAAAGGGAACCCTAATACACAACTGGTGGGAATGTAAATTAATACAGTCATGGCAGTAAACAGTAGGGAGGTTCCTCCAAAAAAAAGTTCAAAATGGAACTACTCTATGATCCCCAATTCCCACTACTGGGTATGTATCCAAAGGAAATGAAAGCAGAATGTGGATGATGCAGCTTCACTTGCAAGTTCATCGCACCATTATTTACAATAGTATGATATAGAGTCATTCTAAGTATTAAATGATGGATCAATGGATAGAGAAAATGTGGTAGACATGGGTCACATACTGGAATACTATTACCCAGTTTTTAAAAGGAGAAGGATCCCGCCATTTGCAACAGTCCGGGTGAACTTGGAGGACACTGTGTTATGTGAAATAAGCCAGGGGTGGAAAGACAAATACTGCCTGCTCTCACTTACACATGGCATCTATGAAAGCCAAATGCATAGAAGCCGAGAGTAGAAAGGTGGTTAGTAAGGGCTAGGAGTGGGGGCAGGGGAAAGGATATGACATTTCAGCGCAGAAGGAGGAATAAGTG